CTCCTCACCCGTGCACCCACACCCACACTTGAGCGCTGCCACGCTGCGAGCCAGCGCCCCTTGGTCAGAGCCCCCCTGGCTTACACCTAAAAAATCCCGAATAACAGCTGCCTGCCCTCTCCCTCTCCCACGGCCGCAGTTCATCCACGGCAACCACCAGGGGGGGCTCATGTAATCCAAAGCTCGGCGCCCCGCGCAAACCGCGCCGCCGGCCCGCCGCGACAGGAGCTTGCACACATTGAAGCCACGGCCTCCAAGGCGCTTCCGCCCTTTTGAGCTTTCCCCCTGTCCCTGCGGCCAACGGCGATAAGGGAGGGCGCGGCCGCGGCTGCCGTCTGTGGCGGGGTTGGCGAGGCTTGCGCGCCCCGCCCGGCCCGCGGCGGAGGGCTCGGGTCGCTGATCGCCCAGGCCGGCCGGCGAGATGCATGCTTGCCGGCGCCTTGGTCCGCCGGCCGCCGGGCGCCAGTTCGGCCGCCCGGCAGGCTGCGGGGATGATGAGCTTACCAGCCTGCGCCCCTCTTCACGCGCGCACGTCACGCATCTTTTTGCCTAGGGAATAGCTGCAGACATCAAACTGTGTTTTGCGCCCCCAGCCCGCCTGCTCTCGCGCGCATGTACCATCGCCATCACCACAACGCATTATAACTAGTTTGTGTCTACATATTTGGTGTGCGCAGGTCAAACCCGCCGACCCTTTGCATCCGCCGCACGCGCCGTTTGAGCAGCCCACGTTTTGCACAGGAGCCCATATCAAGCTCCTCCCACCCGCACCCACACCTTCTGCGATGCCCACACCATCTGTAGAGCTACGGCGCATTGAAAGGACCCGTCGCCCGCCGCCCTCCGCCCCGCCTCACGCCTTGCAACGCCAGCCTCATGCGCGCCCGTCCGCCTCTGCGTACGCACGGCGGCTGCTCCGGCAGCGCTGCTAGTCGCTGGAGCGGGCTTGAACTTTTTGCAACAGTGCTGACGGGCCGTTTCCATGCCTCGGCTTGAGCGGCTCGGCTCCCAGTCCCCCCTTTGCCGCTGCCAAGTTGCGTTGTAGAGTCGCGCGAGCGAATCCAGCCGCGCCTCGGCCCGCCACACCCACAAACTGCATCAGCTTGCCGCCCCCACCGGACACGCCTTGCGACTATCGACGCATCTGAGACGGCCCGGGAACACGTCAAAATCACCCGGCGCCCTCCGCCGGGCCACGTCCCCACGCTTACACCCGTGCTGTCACAACGCCCGCAAGCCCTCCCCAGCGGCAACGGCGCCGTTCGCCCCCCGTGCCGCTTCCTTGCGGCCCTGTCGCACGCACGCTGTGGTAGGCGCCAACACATCGCATTGCTGCCTGGCCGTCATTTCCGCGCCGCATGGCGGTCCGGCGAGCGTCGTGCCGCCGGCGCTTGTGTCACGCTGCTGTTGCGATCTCATACTCCGCATCGCCGCAGAATTGCCGCTTGAAAACATACATGTGTTAGGTAACCATCACCATCACCACCATTATAAACAAGCTGCAAACGGCCGTGTCCTCCTTGGTGCAGCTGCTTAGTCAAATGGGGTCATGGGTCCAGGTGGGAAGCAACGCGGCGGCGCGTCAGGGAAGCTGCAGCAGGGGCTGGCGCGTGCCGCGCGTTTCCAGTTCCACTGCGCCTCTGGTGCCCTCAACCTCAACTGCGCGGTCCGGTGGGCCGCGTGCGGCGGCGCCGCTGTCGTCATGCTATGCCAGTGGCGCCGGCCGACTGTGCTGGATCTACATCCTTCCCTGCCACGTCCAAGTCGAAAGCATGCTGCCCAGATTTGAGCCATATGTATCGATCAGGAGGAGTTACTCAGCAAACAAAGCAGACGCGGAGGCCGACAAGCCTCTGCTCAAGGGTCCAGCTAGGCAGGCGCCCCCCAGCCACCACGAAGCGCAGGCTCGCCCATTGAAGTTACGGCTGCCTCAGCGAGAGCATCAAGCAGCCCCTGTGGCGCCCGGCGCCGCTCGTCCTCGCCGCCTGCGCTGAGCGGTGCGCCGCCTGCGCTGCCGCCTGAGTGGCCGGGCCGGCCGCCTGAGCTGCCGCCGCCCGCGTCGTCCCTGAAGAGGGCGCGGCGGCGCGGCGGCTTGGCCCGCGCGGGCAACGAGGAAGCCCGCTGCTGCTGCTGCTGCTGCTGCTGCTGCTGCTGCTGCTGCTGCTGCTGCTGCTGCTGCTGCTGCTTGGGTTGTTGTTGCTGCTGCTCCTCCTCCTCCTGACCGCCCCAAGGGGGCCTGGGCGAGCGCTGGACGTACGCCCTGTGCAGGTGCCGCTCTCGCGCCTGCTGCTGCTGCTGCTGCTGCTGCTGCTGCTGCTGATGCTGCTGCTGCTGCTGCTGCGACTGCTGCTGCAGCTGCTGCATGACCGTGTCAAGCAGCTGCTGTTGGTTGCTGTCATGCTGATGCACTCGGTCGCACTGTGGTTGCTGCTCCTGCCGCTCTTGCTGCTCTCGCTGCGCCTGCTCCTCTCGCTGCTCTCGCTCCTGCTGTGCCTGCTGCTGTGGTGCCCGGCCCTGCTGCGCTCTCTCCTGCTGCTGCTGATGGTGCTGCTGCTCCTGCCGCCACCGCTGCCGCGGCGGCAGCGGCTGCCTGCGCCGCGGCTCCTGCTGCCCACTCTCGTGCCTGCCCTCTCCTTCGGCATCCATATCACAACCCCCCCGCTGCTCCCCCTCCTCTCCTGCAAAGCTGGACCCCTGCTGCCGCCGTCGCGCTTGTTGTTGGCCGGCGGTGCCGCCCGCGCCGCCGTCCGGCGGCGGCGCCGGCGCCAGCGGCACCGCCGGCGTCGGGAGCGCGACCCCCTGCTCGTGCCGCTGCATGTGCTGCAGCTCGAGCAGCTGCTGCAGCGCCAGCGCCTGCGCCGCCAGCAGCGCCGCGACGCCGCCTTCGGCCGCGTCCTGGACCCCCTGCTGCTGCTGCTGCTGCTGCTGCTGCTGCTGCTGCTGCTGCTGCTGCTGCTGCTGCTCCATCACCGCCCCAGCCGTCATGCCACCCGCCCGCGGGACGCGCCGCCGCTTGGCCGCCTGACCGTCCTCTTCAGACGACGCGCCACGCCCGTCTCCGCCGCCCTCCCGCTCGGCCGGGCCTCCAGCGGCCGCCGCCGACGAGGCCCCAGCGGCGCCGAGCCGCGGGGCGGGAGGGCCGGGCAGCAGCGCCCGCGCGCCCGGCAGCCTGGCGCCCCCCCTGGAC